TATAATATAATACATATTTATAAAATTAATTTAAAAAAAATTTTTTTAAAAAATTTTAATTTTTTATAAAAGTAAATCAATCAGAAGGGAATTTGTAGGAAATAAGTAGGCAAATTTGCCTGCAAATCTCTACAATCTAAGGGATAGAAGGTCAATAATCCTATTATAGAATTTAGCAAGTAAATAACTTAAAAATAAGAAGTAAAATGTAATATTTAGATTATATATATACAGTATATTAATTAGATTATATTGTGATAATAAAATCATATTAACATAAAAATAGGAAAGTCTTAAAAATATAATTAAAATATAAAAAAAAGATATCTACTATAAGAAATGAATAGATTATATGCAATATTTAGATTATATTTTTAAATTATATATGATAGTTAGTCTATATTTTTTAGATTATATGTAATACTATAATCTAGAATAAGTAGAATATTACATATAATATAATTATATTATATATGATATTCTACTTAATTTATTCACTATAACAAAGTATTTATAATAATGAAAAATCTATATAAATAAAAAAATTCTTATAATGCAATTTATTAAAAAATTTTTTATTTTAAAAATTTAATATTATATTAAACTATCTAATATAAATTACTTTACATTATCTTAAATATATCTATTAATTTTAAATTTTAAAATATTAAAAACTTTTAAATTTGTATAACTAATTAAATCATTATCAGGTAGATTTTTAAAATATTAAATTACCCTTTTCAAATTATTAAGGCTACTTTGTTAATAATAATATTAATTTTTGTTAATTCTTTATATCATTTTTTTTGATTTGAAATTAATATATTTATTATTTTTTTATTTAATAATGGCTCTATTGATATTTTATAATCAATATAAGAAATAAATTTTCAGTTGCAATAAAATTTTATAAATTTAATGCATTAATTATATTTATAATTCTAAAGTAATTTTAATAATTTCTTGATTCAAACTAAAATATTTTCACTTTTATGAAATTATATCAAGTAAAATACCTAATTTTTTTAACATTATAGAGTTAAAAATTTATAGAACTAATATCATGTAATTTTATAAAAGAAAGTTAAAGAAACATTTGGTTAAATAAAAGATTAACAGATAAATATTTAACCAAAAAAACTAAAATATAGAATACAGTTAAACTATTAGCTGAAGGAAAAAGGATAAATTATATACTAAAGGAAAAGGATAAATTACTTGCCAAAGGAATTAGAAATTATAGGAATAGAAATTAGAAATTACAGGAATAGAAATTAGGAATTATAGAATAGGATTAGGAAATGAAATTAAGATTTACAGAAATGATATATATTAATTTTTATATAAATAGAATAAAATTTTTCATATAAAAAGATCAGGAATGAAAAAAAAACTCTTTCTACTAATCACCAAAAAATGCCCAAAAAAATCAAAAATCTAACAACCGCAATCGCTCTGCATCACCAGTTAAAGAAAAACTATTACTACAAAAAAAATAGAACACCACCTAAATAACTTAACAAGAAGCCATCGCTGAAAGTTCTAATATTGCACAACCTCCTGTTATCATTATAGAAGTTGACCAAACATTTGACACTACAATATTACCTCTTGATAAGGGAAAAAATAAAGAAACTGTCACAGTTAATGAAATCATAACCAATAACAAAAAAGATAAAATGAACGTAGACAGTCTATCTGACGCATCTGAAAATACTATCGATATTACTTTAGTAGCATTTGCTACGCTACTTCTCAGTGCTGAAAAATTTTTCGCATATTTTCCGCTTGAAAAATATCCTGAAGCTAACCCCAACAGAAGATCGCTGAAATCACTGACAAATACTATTTCAACTATACTTCCTTTACTGAAGTCACACATAGAAAACTTCTTACTAATCCTTCTATCAACATTCTCAAGGTTACCTTTTTAGACTCTAATGAATGTGATGATTTAGATTCTTAATGCAGATAAAGTCACGTTTTTACTTCTAATTGTACAAAAATTGCATTTTTTTGTACCTGTACAGTTGATCACAGTAACTGAGATCCTGTTAGATTTTACAGTTATACAAATTAAAATTTTTTTTCCAATATGGAAATATCATACGTTGCACTACAGAAACTACATTGGTCGAAATCAAAAAAATCGGACATGCGAAAATCGGCCTAAAATCAGCCTAAATTCAGCCTAAATTCGGCAAATTATCAAAATCAGCTTAGCCGATTGGCATACATCAGAAATCGGCCAAGAATCAGCCAAAATTCGACCTATCTTATTTATAGCTGATTGGCAT